ATTATTTTCCTATATTTGAAGGCACACTTAATAACATAATTGAATCAAATTTACTTATTTTAAAAGAATGAAAATTTTTGGGTGTTACTGAGACGCTGAAGAAAGATCAAGGGGTTCGAGTCCTAAACTTAGACGTACATAACATGTGTCTCCTAAGCAAATGGCTTTTTAGGTTGTTGAATGGAGATGGGATCCGGCAACAATTGCTTAGGAACAAGTATTTAAGAAAGAAAACTTTGACACAGGTTCAATACATGCATGTGGACTCCAGTTTTGGGCTGGCCTTATGAAGGTCAAGGAGGAGTTCCTATCGTTGGGCAAGTTTGATCTAGGCGATGGGTCTCAAGTGCGATTTTGGGAGGACTCGTGGATAAGACCACGTCCTTTAAATTCTCTCTTTCTGCATTATATAATATTGTTAGGAAGAAAAGCGCATCTGTAAAAACGGTGTTGTCTATGACACCGTTAAATGTGGCTTTCGGAGATCTCTGGTAGGTGTTAATTTACAAGCATGGCACGAGGTGGTCGCCATGGTTGCAGAGATGTCTGATTACAAACCAGAGGATCGTTTTGTGTGGGGCTACATCGAGAATGGATTGTTTTCAGTCAAATCCATGTACAGAGCCATTTTAGGAGTTGAAGCTATACCTTATAACACTTTAATATGGAAACTGAAACTACCTCTCAAAATCAAAAAGTATTTTGTGGTATTTGTATAAGGGAGTAATCTTAACAAAGGACAATTTAGCAAGGCGGCAGTGGCAAGGAGATAGAAAGTGTTGTTTCTGCTCTTCTGACGAGTTATACAACATCTATTCTTTTATTGTCATTTTACTAAATTCGTGTGGCGAATTGTTCCTGTTTCCTTTAATTTAATACCTCCAACTAGCATTTACAATTTGTTTACAGGCTGGTTAGATGGGATTAATTGGAAACTAAAATCTAAGATTCTTGTGGGTGCAAGTGCAATTTGTTGGGCGATATGGTTAACCCAGAATAATATAATTTTTGACAAGGCCGCAGCACCATCTTATTTTGCGAGGTTATCTTGGGGACCCTCTTGGACCAGGTCCTGGTCCCTACTATAGAAGGAGGAGGATCGCCAAATGTTAATGATAGGATGTAGGAATATTGAGACAACCGTGATGGAAGTATTTGCTAGATACGGTTGGAGATTTAGTAATAGAATTGCTCTCTAGATGTCGAGCTTGGAAACTTCTTTTTTTTTCTTTAGATCAAAACTTTGTGTTTGTGATTGCATGGATTGCAGTGCTTGTGTTGTAATAAGCAACAGTTATATACATTGGTCGATCTTGAAGCTGGGATATTAATATATTCCCTTTTCTAAAAAAAAGGTGTTCTCACAGTTTAATTAGGGACTATAGAATAGTAAGGTTTATGATACGATGCTATTAATAGGGATTCTGGTTGTAGAGATTTTTGCATTTTAATTTGTTTTGGGATTATGATCCGTGTTCAGATATATGCACACGGCAATAGATGTTGAAATCGAGTTTGTCTTTTAAATTAATTAAGACACTGAAAAAATATATTGCCAGTTACATTGCTTCTGTTAAGGTTGCCAATCTACAATTTCAGATTGGACTTTGTATGCTATAACACTGCAACTGCAGTAGGTGCCTCTCTATTTTTCACCATCTTCTTTGATCTGTTCTGCAGTGGGACCTTGAACGCCATACACAGGATCAATAGCTACATGGCAAAAAGTCTATTCATGACCAACCAAACCTACATACAGAACTATGCTCAATCCCTTTCCTCTAATTCAGCATAATTATGCCATATACTCACCAATTCTAGGAGGCAATAGCACCTAGACACCTGGGTGGGATTTACAATCTGGTTTTTATTCCTATTTTTTTTATTCCAGTATCTAAATATCTAATTATAATTATTGGAACTGTGTCTTTTTAAGTATTGAAATATTATAGGAGGCAAAACCGCAAAAGTCCGTCGCGCCATGTTAGAGCAGCTCTTAGTTGCACCACGTCATGCTAGGCAGCTGAGTTCCTTTGTATCTACAAATAATGTCTGTTTCGTTTTGTTCTGTTTTGTTATTGTGCTACAGGGAGGACATTAGCTAAAACCACTGTGGTCCACTGACGGCCTCAACATTGTGATTCTGGCCTCTGGTGGCGATCCTCCTTGTGGCCGGTATTACAGCGACGTCTACTGCCTCAACGGTACGTGTCCCTTCAAACATGCCCTTCACGTACTAATACTCTGATAAACAGGTTAGTGTGCTCATTCATTCCAAGCCTTTGTTTGCCTCATGTTTTCTACTAAAAAGCAACATGTTGATTTGGTTAATTCAATATCGGTTAATGCTACATGAGCCATATAGCCCCGTTCACAGAAAACCAAATGTTTCCATGTGAAATGCAGAAGTAGGAACTAACGGTTAAGATAGTTAATTGCTAGCCATCCATGAGTTCTGTTCTAAGGCAGATTTTCAGATTAAAATTTAAGAAATTAAGAATCTCTACAGCATTGAGGAAATGTTTATTTATTTTTCAATGGAACGGCAGAAGCTTTTCCATTCAGTTAAAATGGGTTTGTTCACTACTTGGCAAGCAAAATGTGATACCATTAAGGAAACTTAAACTGGGAGGGAATACAAAGCACCTTGAGAAATGAACAATTGTGTGATCTTGGGAGGCAAAAAAGCACGCTAATTTCTTTTAAGCGTAGTTTTATTACAGATAAGAAATTGCATTTCAATCTGCATGAGCTTATGAAATGGAACAATTATTTTGGCCTTTTTTGTTGCTCTGTCAATAACCACATATTTTTGTTGAAATCCAGGAGCACTGCTCAATCATATAAGAGTAGAAGCATTCAAGAGTTTTTTTCATCAAAACAATTTTGATGGCATTTACTTCACTGAATGCAACCTTATTTTTGTTCCCTAATTAATTCTGAGCAAACTCAGATATATGTAAATGTTATATCTCTTCTCTGTTTTGTTTATCTATAAATTTTACACAGACCATTATACATTTATAATAATGTTCACTATATACACAATAGGGAATATCTTTCTTATCGTTTGACAAGGATATTCGGGCAAGACAAAATATTAACATTTTTTGTGGCTCCCATTGCAACGCTTGGGCATTTACCAATATAAGCATAAGACTGAAGGTAATGGACCAGTCTGAAACTGCCAGGGATGGTCACCAACTCATTAGGAGATTGGACAGTAACTGATGAAACACTGCTGGCTTTGAACTTTTTGGTATTGGACGGGTTTATAAAATTTTCATATATTTTTGAAAAGGTGTGGTTCATAAAGTTTTGTGATTGTATTAAAATCAAGGAAAATTCCTATCTTATATCATTCCATTAGCTAGAAGTGACTCTGTGTGTGTTTTGACCTGTGGAATCACCTTGGCTGATGATGCTTGTGCTCCCCGCTCCCAAGCATGGGTAGCCTGGCTTATGAATTCCCAAGTTATTTTAGACCTTTTATCATGAGCACTTTTGCCCTAATAAGTGGGGATGGACTTACAGATGGCATTGAAAAACTAAGACGAAAAACATGGATATAGAGTATGAATAGCTCTAATCCATGCTTAGACAGCTGATACAATAATCCTTTATCAAGGTTAGGTTGCATGTCTTCCTCAAACTTCGGCTACTTTGCTTTTCTCTTTGCTTGTTATCTTGGAGTATCTGCGTGGTGTCGACTGTCAACGGTGCTTAATTCTGTGATATTGAGGACCAGAAATGTTTGGTAGTACCACATATCTGATGGGTTGGGTTGACTGCACTTTTTTTTGTGCAATGAGATGAGCAGGAGCGGCATTTGAAGACTGATTTGAAAAGTGATGCCAACGAATGCTTGAAAGCTGTGAACAAGGACCAAAAGCCACCATAACACCATGCTGGAAGAAATTTTGAAATAGTTCTGGAGTTGGACATGGTTAATTTAAACAATTTTGTACATATTTAGTTATAATTAATTGAAAGTTTCAAATTACCTTGGTACCAGATAACTGAACTTTAGATGCTTTATTGCACTCTTCGTTCGGAGAATGGCAGTGCCATTTCTTCTCGTTGTTATGAGCACACTGATTTGCTCGTTGTCATATGAGAAAAAACTTGTGAGCATGATGCTTTTGCAAAAGAACAACTAAAGCTGAATGGACATAGTGTCGACCTGTGCATCCGTTGACCTCAACTGGCCATCGCTCTCTGAGGTCGACGGTCTCTGCACCGCTTAGCTTCCCGTGTAGCATGTAGACCGACTCCTTTATGGAATACAACCGATGTCCATAAGAGTGAAATGACAGTGGATGATGGTGGAATGATAGTCTCATCGTGTTCAAAGATTCATTTTTAGTAACTGTTTAACACATGTTTAAATTACAATTTCTATGATATTATATTGCTTTCGGTGACTGTCAATTTCACGAACTTTACTTTTTGGATTAAATATTACTTTAACATTAATATTTAATTTCACAGTATTGTATCTTATCGTGCGATCCGTATGTTTTTTTAGCAAAAGTTTAGTTGTCCCGTAGTAGCGCGCACGGACACGCTACCTAGTAGCTATATAAGCGTGCGTAAGTAACGCACGCGCAATATAGTTTGTCTTGCCATGTGTAACCCATATGGTAGACATGCATTAGTGCTACTTATTAGCTGCATGGTTTTGTACGTGAGCGAGGGCGACTGACTACACGATGTGGTATTCTGTACGTGATGAGCGCGCGCGCATACTATATATAGGCCACTTCGATCTCAGCAGCAGCACAAGCAGCTAACAGCAGACCACAAGCAGTGCAGCTCGACATCCATCGCCCTGCTAGCTAGCTAGCTAGCTCTCTTCTTCTTCCCGGCACCGGCACCGAGAGATAGATGGACCGAGAAATGCTGGGGCCGGTGGTTACAACGGAGTGGGCGGATCTGGTGGCGGTGCCGCCGTACTACCTGGCGGCCCAGACCATCATGAGCGACCGCCCGAGAGAGAGATGCTAGGGCCGGTGGTAAAAACGCAGTGGCCGGAGCTGGTGGGGCAGCCGTACTACCAGGCGCACCAGACCATCATGAGCGAGCGCCCGGACGTGACAATAATGGAGCTTGCCCCGCTCGAGGATCTTCCCTATGCGTGGCCATCCGACTACACGCGCGTCTGCGTCAAGGTCGATACTAGAACCATGACCGTGTATGGTGACGACTCTACCCGTATCCACAAGCTGGCTAACTAGCTTCGCTTCACAGCCTCCTGCTTGCATTGGCTTGTTGCTAGCAGCATGCCAATCTATATACTTAATTACGTGTGTGTTCAACGGAATAATGCGATGTCTGGTCGATCGCAGTGCATTTCGGTGCATGGGTGTGATGAATAATCCATCGTGTATTTCGATGGGTGTTATGGAATAATAATGAATCGTGTGTTTTGTTCTCATCATGTCTACTAATGCTAGCTTTCCCACATAGTACGTCTTTGCATTTTAGTTTATATATGGTGCATGCAATTGTTACTCACAGGTGAAACACATGTCACAAGCATGCATGATACGACTACTGACCAGAACCACCGGAGCCTCTGCGTTCGCTTTACTATGGCCTGTGTTCCTTCTTCTCTGGATACTCCGCCTCTTATATGAAACGCCAAACAAGCATCCCGACCTTATTACTATTATATATCTGTCGCTGTCATCAGGAAGGAGTCCAGATTTCTCTTCCAGATAAACTCACGTCATGTAGACGAGGTATCTATATAAACAGTGCTGCATTTGTGATCCATCCAACTCCAACACACAAAGAAACCACCTCCAGTCGTACCTCCTTTTGCAAAACTGTAAGAAGTCAAACACTATATATGGCGTTCAAAGCCAAACGAATAAATAATTCAGCTGGGGAAAATCGCCGTTGACTTTAAAAAAAACATACTCCCTCCGCCCCAAAACAAGTGTCTTTCTCGCTTCACGAGAAGTCAATAACTTTTAACTTTGCTCAAATATATACGAGAAAATATTAATATTTATAGTTTATAATTAGTACCATTAGATTGATTGTTGAACTTATTTGGAGATACAAATTAAATGTTGCTAATTTTTGTACAAACTTGCCAAATTTAAGAAAGTTTGACCCGCACGAACGGCATAGCGACCCTTATTTTGGAATGGATGGAGTACAAACCTGGGCCATCGAGCATCTCTTTGTCGTCAAAGCTTGAGGCAGGCTGCACTCGACTTGTTTGGTTGTGGTCAGAGGTCAGTTCCTCCTTTCAAAAAAAAAAAAGGGTCAATTTCAAACCTATGGAATCGCCGCTTGTGATCCCTGACTTGGCAGACAGATCATTAGATCAAGTAGTTTGTAGTCACCTACTAGAAATATATTTTTTGAAAACAAACAATTTTATGTGCAAAGTAGACGAAAAGTGCCCCAAATGGCGGCCCAATTAGTTTGGCAAGAACAAAAATTGATTTTGCACCTTGGGACTGCATCCAAAGATCCTTTGTGCCCACATCAAGTATAGATGGCCAACCCGATGGACCGGCACGGGCACTGCACGAAGGCCATGGTGCTAATGCTGGCACGAGCATAGATATAGTGTCGTGCCTCTGGCTGCAACAACTCTGGGGCACAACACGATTTTTGGGCCGGCACTATGCGGCCTTATGTATTTCTACCGTTGGATGGCTTCCGGGATTGGATATAGATATGAGAGTATATATATATATATATATATATATATATATATATATATATATATATATATATATATGACTCCTCAAACCTAGCTCCTCCCAATACCAAACACGCTCCCGGCCAACAGCCGTCTATCCGCATCTCCTTCTCTCATCCCCCACGGTCTCTCCCGCATCTCAGGTTCCCATCTCCCAGCTCCACAAGCATGCCCGCATGGCCACTTGGGCGCTCACCCTCCCGACTCCCGCGTGGCGATGCGCGCGGGGAGATTGAGGAGTAGCGGTGGGCGGCGATCGTGTGAGAAGTTGCGGACCTACCAAGCTCCGCAAGCGGAGTGGCGGGGTGATGCGCGGGAAGGTGCAGAGCAGCAACGGGCTGGCATAGGCACAGGCCTAGTGGGCCGCCATGGCCCTCGGCATGACCGGTCATGTTTAAGTGCCTGTAGGGCCGTGCCTTGGCCGAGAGTTAAGCACGGCGGCCCGACACGGCCCATCGGCACGATGTGAATTTCCTCCCATGGAGAGGGATTCAATTTTACAGATGGATTCATTGAAAAGGAAAATTTCGGTCAGATTTCCACCAGAGCTGCTCCTATCTTCTGGCTTCCTAATATGGTTGAAGTCACCTAGGAGGAGCCAATACAGGTCTTCAGGCATTTGAATATCGAGCCAGTTGATGAAGTTTAGCTTGCCTTCAGCTATAGATCGAGAGCCCATACACACATGCATGTTAGCAGCCACTTAGTTTCATTGCGAAGGGAAAGAAATCCCACTGATACTGCAAACTCATTGCTAAAAACCATGTTTCCACAAAACAAAAACGCTCTAGATTATGCGGGTCCAGTGCCTAAGGAAGACACGGTGGCGTGTAAAAGAAAGCTAGAACATTTTTCCGGTGTTGTATGCACGACCGGGTCCAGTGCGTAAGGCACAATTGCTGCGGAAGCCCACTAGGTGCGTGGTGTCCGCAGTCCGCCAACAACCAAAAATGGAAGTTTGTTGTGCGGCATGATAACTATTAGGTAAATTTCCTAAAATGGACTGTGCATCCGGATGGCAAGATACTGCACGTCCGTGCTGTAGTAAAATTCTTTTTATTTTGGACCAACAATAATTTGCATTCATTATGTATTAATCCATGATACCTATAATGGACCAGGTTGTGAGAGTGTATCCAATTCATAGACACAAGCTGACGATGCTAAGCAAGCATAAACGAGAAAGGGAAAGAGCACGGTATGCGAAACAAAGGAATGAAATAAATAGGAAACATGGTGAAAAATACCAAATAAAAACCAAGAAACTGCCCTCACTGGTAGATCGAGAGGTGACACAACAATCAAATTTAATCCAATCAATGTGCATTATCCTTTGGCTCTTATTTATGGTGTAATAATTATCTTGTAGCTGATGGAGTTGTATTAGACAATGAAGACACAAATAACGATGAAAATAGTAATTGGTTGCATAGGAACGATTCCTATCAACCCATGCAGATTGATAAAGAGAACCTAGGTACCTATTTTTCTATAAAGTTCCTCCATGATTATGGTGTTGTTGCATTATAATAGATATTTTGTAAATATAAGTAAGATGTTGCTGTCTATATTTCCTAATATAATGCTCATATGTTATTATGTAGCTGCATCTGATTCTGCTAACACCATGAACCACCCTAAGAGAATTGAGTCAAAAAAATTATACGATACGGGCGCTATAAAAATATGGCCTTTGATCGAGGAGGCAAGCAAGGCGTGAGCGTCAAAGGTTGCATAATAGTGAACCCAAGCGTAAGGAGGCCTTGAAAATAGATGACAACAAATTTAGAGAGATGAGGAAGCACACGCTACACCCAGAGTCTATAACCATGGAGAACCCGTTATATATAACTGGGCGTTAGTACCCCACCGTGGGAGCATCTAGAGCTGATGGATACATGGCGAAATCCAGTGATTGGTTTATCCCGGAGTCCAGAGCAACACCTCTTTATATTCCTCCACCTCATGAGGAGGTCGATGATGAAGGATGTGATGAGTTACTATCTGGCCATATGAGATGTTCCCTTTCCAATTTAAGCAAAAGCAGTTCCCTATACGGCTCAGCTTCGCAATGACAGTAAACAAGTCACAGGGGCAGACTATCCCTAACGTCGGGGTATACTTGCCAGAACCAGTGTTCTCGCACGGTCAATTGTATGTGGCGCTATCAAGAGCTACGGCAAGATCGAACATTAGGATCCTAGTCGTGCCGGCTACTGAGAAGGACGTGAACAAGGGAAAGGGAAAGGGAATGGAAAGAAGAAAACGACAAAGGATATATTCACAAAGAATATCTTATATAAAGAGGTTCTAACTCCATAAAAGAGGTAATGCATCACACGTCGATACATATTTTTTCAGGATATCAATGGTACTTTAACTTTAAAAATTAACAAACAACTTATATGCAGGATACTTCTAACTATAGCTTCAGCCATCTGCATGCTTCAGCTGCAAGAAGTCAGACGCCGCATCTTGGAGTAGAAAATCTTCTGGATCATCATTGATTGGTAACCAACTGCAGCTTGGTATTTGTGCAAAGCACGTTCTCTTAGTCGAACTATTGAGAGATTAGATTCTTAATTGTAGAATAGATTGTAAAACATGTATTGTGAAACACAAACTTCTTATGATTATCTTTCCGTAGCACTTGATTCCTAAAGAAGTGCAAGCTTATCTTTCGTGTATCGTAGGCATGAAGTGATGCGACAATTGATGTTGATGTTTCAATTTTGCATTCAAATTTAGAGTTATATTTTAAGTATCTACCTTTCGTGGAGACTTATGTAAAATTGATTGGAACATTATGATTGCGGTATCTATTTTAGATAACAGTATAACACACGCTCGTACATATGTTATCGTGGTATTATGAGTTCCTGTTGCAACGCACAGGCATTTATCTAGTAACTAAAAAAGACAAAACCGCCTTCGAAACCACTTTAAACCATGGTAGGTAGGTAATTTGAAATGTTTAAAGAGTTCAGGAAAAAGATGCCCGGTTCTAGATTTCAAGAAGAAAAATTATACTATAATGATAGTTCAGAGAAGTAAAATAGAGTTTTTTCTTTAACCTTTGTACATATACATTTTTTAGAATTACACAGTACAATGTACGCACTAACAACATATGCACACACTAATGCAGGACTAGGTAGCAATCCCGGTTGGGAAACCCCCTTTAGTCCCGGTCTAGGACTAAAGGCCAGTCCTTTAGTCCTGGTCCCCTCAACCAGGATTGATTTGAGACTTCTAGTCCCGGTTGGTAATACCAACCGATAATAAAGACGGCTCTAGCCTGGGCCCTAGGCGCTGCCACATATTAGACCTCCAGTCCCAGTTGGTTATACCAACCAACCTACCAGGACTCAATATCTCTTTTTTTCTTTTCTTTTCTTTTCTTTTTTGTGCAATGAGACGAGCAGGAGCGGCATTTGAAGACTAATTTGAAAAGTGATGCCAACGAATGCTTGAAAGCTGTGAACAAGGACCAAAAGCCACCATAACACCATG